CCGAAACATATTACATATGAATTGCAAATGACATGCAGCGACCGTCGGTTATAAAAACAAAAATGTCTTTAATCAGGCACCAGATATGAAGCAAAATAGGTTGGCATGATGTTATCAGTGAAAACCAGACAGCCAAACCAGATGACCCTTGATCACTACAGGTTGAAAAAAATTGATGACCGGAACACTTCATCGAACTAAAAATGATAGCCCTAAAACCTTCACACAAGGGTTTGGTGTGAATGCTTTCCTCTGGTTGATTTTCTTTATACTTGGCGTTGTTTAACCGTTGCTTGGTTGCTCTGTTCGCTTTTCTTCTGGGGGATAAGCAGTTGAATATGAACATCTTCAAGGGCAAAAGAGGGCAAAAGAAGCATGATTGCACTAACGCGAATGGGAGGTTATGACGCATCATGTTGTTATGTATTAAAAGAAGCGTATAATTATCAAATAGGGTCGGAAGTTGGAACATGCACATATATAACTAACTTAAATTAAAGATGTGGTGTTTGCCATGTTTCGGCTTCATTTATTGATTGAAAGCCGTGAAAATTGAATATTTCTGGGGGATATTGAAACCCATGTGTTTTCACGTGAGGTGGCCTCAGCATTGGAGCGGTCGTTTTTTGCACTTCAAGCTGTTTCGAAAGGTCTTTGTGGAAGCATTGCTCTGCACTGGCCCTTCGTCACTGAAAAAAAATATTGCAAACATTGCTATTCATTTTGAGGGTTGGTTGCATGGAACACCTTGTGGGGCACTCGTGTACAAAGCAGGCCTACTCTTTGCACACCAACACCCATCCGTGAGGCTTTTGATTGGGTGGGCCAAATGCCTTGCTGGGTGTTGAAATATGAGTGAGGGAAATGTGAAAATGATTGTCTTTATCCAGTTTTGAAACTTTGCACCTAAGCCTCACAGCCGTGTCCGGTGGCTGCGCCTTTACTCAGGCTGGTGATCTCTGCAGATCCTCACAAAAGAAAGTTACCAGGGCAAAGGAGAGCCGCCAGCCTCCTCTTCCTCCTGGTGGCCAGGGTTTTCACCCTCCTCATCACCCTCAGGTGTCTTCTTCGAGGTTTTCCTCGGCTTTTTCTTGGGCTGCTTTTCTGTTTTGGAGTCCTCCTTTTTGTTCTTCTGCCCACCTGTTGCCTCTTCAGCGCTTTCCGCGGCTTCTTGGACTGCTTCTGGTCTGTAGTGGCTGGACCCTTCTTTTCGCATTTCGCAGAGCAAGAACTCTGTCAGCTCCATTTCTACTTTTTTACCGTGCTGTTCAGACAGCACAAAGCCATAGAATGGCACACGTTCCAGAAGACATGCTTTGGCAGCGGAGGCATGCCCGTACTGCTAAGTCCAAGAATCCCTTGCAGGAATGAGCACGGACCAAGTCCCTGAAGAATTCGACGGGAAGGATAGACGCTGAGAACACAGATTCCAAGTTGGACATGGGCTCAGTTGTCTTCGCCTGTGCTTCGGCAGTCACTGCCACTGCTCTCTCCGAGGTCAACAATTGTCTAGTGAGAAACTCCCCATATTCCAAAGCCGAACACATTCCAGGCCAAAATAGCTCAAAATTGTTGATGATTGCCCTAACCGGGCTGGAATTGCAACTTGCGCAACTTTTGTTTTTTTCCCTTCGCACGTGCCTGAACTTCGCACATGATCCCCTGAGTAAAGCCAGAGGTGTTCAGCCAACTCATGTGGAAACATGTTGGCTGTTTTTTTTGGTAATGTGTTTTTTCCATTAAGCTAGCCCATGGTACTCTGACTCTGATGAAAACTGTTTCTTGGCTTGTCGGCGCCCACCTTTGGTTTACATACAAAACCCTCTAAGTTCTTTGTTTCTTTGCAGGTCTCTCAAGTTGTCCGGAGTCCTGCTGTTCCAAAATTTGCTTCTTGTCATTTAGTAATGATTCCCACCACTGCCAGCACCAACTTTCAAGTGCAGCCTTGGCAACAGCAACCGTGCGGCGTGTGCCGCCTTGAATTGGGGTTCCATGTGGATCGCAGTAGCTCAGCGCTCTTGAGGCCTTGCCTTCATGGACATACCCCACAGGCAATCGAACTTGAATGAATTGAGATGCCAAAAGAGGCACCCCAAAATTCTGCTTCACACTTGGAGGAAGTGAGAGGTTTGGGTCATCCCGCGGAGTTCGCGGTGCTCGAACTCTCACTTCTTCTCGGTCGCGATGCCCACTTGGCATCGGAGCATCCTCACTCACCTGCAGGTGGTCGGAAAAAACAAATATTTATTGTTTGATGCTTTCTCCATCTTTGTAGTAGTAGTTTTCTCAATTTGATCCACTTGTGAAAAGATGTCATCACATAGCCTGCCCCTTTTTCTTTGAAGATTAGGAATTACTTGTCCACAGGCTAGGCCCAAACACCTAGAAGACCACACGATTAAAAGTAGCAATGAGATTCGTTGAGTTAAAATGAACTAAAGCCCGTTAAAGGATAGAAGTATATTTATAGATGGGGTTATGACTCCAGAAATGGGGTTATGACTCCATACATGGGGCTATGACTCCATAAATGGGATTATGTAAGTTATGATTCCATAAATGGGGCTATATCTGGTATAACATACTTATACCCAGTAAAGGCTGACAACTGTATGTATGTCACCTGCATTGGGTTCCCAGCGCCAGCAGCGCTAGCATCATCTTCAGCGACTTCAGGATGTTTCTGTTCCTCCTGTGGTGGAGAAAACACGCATCACCTAATCGAAGCCAAAAATGAGCTTCACTAGACCCTACTTCGCTAGTTTTCCAGCGCAGAAAACGATTACTGTAAAGTATTTGCTCCAGTGATTGCAACAAAGTGACAGTCTATCTGACATATATTCTGACATGCTATTTGGCATCGTTTCTGGCATCTTACCTGACATATATTCTGACATTTGACCTGACAGATTTTGTGACATGTATTCTGGGCACGCTATGTGGCATTTATATCCCTGTGTGCATTCTGCAGAGAAGTTGTGCCCACTAAACCGTTTACAAACACAGCCTTATACTACAAAATGATGCTTGAATCTGAACCAACCCCCCTTGCTACAAAATGGTTTGGTGGTTTTTATGATGGATCAAAAGCCAATGTCGGTCACTACAAAATGACTTTACGTAACCATTTTGTAGTGAAAACGGGTTGCAATGAAGAATCATGATTCACTACTAAATGGTTTCACTTTGGTTCACTTTCCGGGCCAAGGTCATAGCATTTGCCGAGCACAAGTAAATACAACCTTGGGATTTCCATCGGATTCCAAGAATTGACCTTCCAAGAGGTTTTGGCATATATTGGCATATATTGGCGGTATAATAGGCAAAACCACCATTTAATCATAACTAACCCACACAAGGAATGATAAGAAGGATGTGGATTGGGCCAAACAACTTTTACGGGAACACCTTTTTTTTGTAGTAAAAAATGGTTTGCATCTTTTTGTAGCAAGGGACATTTTAGCCAGATATGAGGTTTATACGTGGGATAGTTATTATTTTGAAGACCTCGGATAAAATTATTTCAGTGACATATTCCACAGTATCTTGGATAAATAAATGGTATATTGGCATATATTGGCGGTATAATAGACAAAAACACCATTTAATCATAACTAACCCACACATGGAATGGCAAGAAGGATGTGGAATGGTGTTTTATGGGGTGCAACTTGTTGATGTTGTTTTTGGGAGGTTTTGATGGCGCCATTGGATGGCTTAGAAAATAAAGCCTCCTGTTGCTAGAGCGAGGTTCTTTCCCACATTTCGACGTTTGATTATGCGCGCGGGCCGAGCATGACTGGCAGAAGAGGGCTATAGGGTTTCCGGTACGACACAACGCATCCCAAAATAAATCACTACAAAATGCATTTCCGATTTATGAGTGCCAAATGGAACGCCGCTACAAGATACAGTGCACACCCTTTTACTACAAAAACTGTTGCACGGGTCCATTTTTTTTGCTTGAATTATCCACGAATCAGTGGATGGTACCAAGCACGTGTTCACCCTTTTAGTAGTGGAAATGGTAAGGGGGATGCATTTATTATGACATGCTATCTGGCATTATTTCTGGCATCCTGTCTGACATATATGCGGAACTTTTCTGTGACATATATTTTTTTAATATTGACATGTGTTTTATGTGTTTTGACCTTCTTGACAATCACATTCTATCTCGCAATCTTTCTCTTACCTTGCATATTCATATATTCTGGTATTTTATCTGACATATTTTGAGCCTGCTATTCTACCTGATACTTTTTTATATGACATCTTGGATGCATGCTATTTGATTTTTTCTTGTGCCTTTCTGTCGAAAATACCATTCGGTGTGGCATTCTATTTGACACTTGTTCTGACAGTCTGTGTGGCATACAACCACATGTATATTCTGACATTCTACCTGGCATCCTTTCTGGCATTTTATTCGACATTTATTCTGGCATCCTATCTTGCATTTTATCCGGCATATTCACGAATTTCCGACTGCCACGCGAAATATTAATTCACATGAGGTGGCACCAATTGTTATATCCGGTCCTTTGGCGCCCACAGAGGCAAAGAGGTGGAACTGCGAGGGGGGAAGGTGGGGAAAGGAAGAAAAGGAAGAAGGAAGTTGCACTTTGTTTAAAGAGCAGCACAGTCACCTGCAAGTGGGGAAAAACAAGGTCACTCGGCAACCACTTGGTCCCCCATCCTCGGGTTCGTCTGTTTCCTCCAATGTGCACATCTCAGCCATCATGGCCTGAACAACTTCATCTTCATCTTGTCCTTCAAGGCATTCGTCATCGTTCTCTGCATTGTCCGGTTCCTGCGTGGCAGAGAAATGCCAGGGAAAAAGGCAATGAGAAAACTAAAGCAAACATCAGGAAGGAACGTATGATTCAAGGGGCAACCATAAGTGATAAGGGTTTACACAGGAATAATTGGTAGTAAGTGCTAGGTTGAGGTTGATCAAATGGTTTGGAACAAGAGAAGTTTGAGAGTACTTCATCCCCTTATCTTTTTTTGGGGCCAGAACCCTGATCCTCGTCATCACCCTCTTCATCACCCTGCTTCTTGGGAGCACGTGGGGCTTTCTCTGGAATTTGCTGCACCAAAGCCTGAATAAGCTCATCATCCACACCAAAATGTTTCAAGTAGAGCTCGGCCTTCTTTCTGTGATTCAGTTTGGAGTATCCTTTCAATTTCAGCAGTGAACACAGAGCTGTCAATGTGCTTGCTGAAACCCGGAGAATGGAATGGTGGGCCACATACTCCGTGAGAAGCATCCAATCCCCAACCGGCTTCCACACAAGTTTGCCGCAATTGTGGCCAATTGAAACTGAGCTGCAGCAAACCTTGTAGGTGTTGATGTCCTGGATGGGCACGTCGCAAACAATGAGGTCAGCTGCTTTGTCGCTCACGCAGTAGACACATTCGTCCTCCTCTGTCATTTCGAAGAGGGACAAGCACCTGGCACTGTAGGGTCCAGATTTGAGAACCATCAAGAGGCTGCCCACGGCCTCCATCTTCAAAAGCACTCCTCTTTCCGCCAGAGAGGAAATCCAAAGCTTACGCGTGGCGGCTTCAATGTCAAACTCTCCAGGATTGTTTTTCCAAAGTCTGAAGAGCACATCTTTCAAGAGCAGCCTTTCCGCAAACACGTGAGGTTTGGTGAAATCAGTAATGGACTTCTTCCTGGTGAGGCCGCTTGTTGATATTCCCAGTGACAAATCTGTGCATCGACTGGGGTCAAACACACTTCTCTTAAGTGTTTTGCCTGGCAATGGCAATGACTCAATGACCAATCTGATGCAGAAGGGTTCAATGGCTGAAGAGCAGGAGTTCGATGTTCACAAGAGCGAGCAACAATGCTGTGGATGTTGCAACCAGTGGTGACTTCCTGCTTCGAATGGCGCTTGCATGCGTCTCGCATGTCGTTGAACACCATTTCCACTGGCACACTGGAGAGCAAACTCCCATGGTGTTCGGAAGAGATGCCACATACAGCCTTTACCACACCTTGAAAGTAAGGATCACTTGCAGCTCGCTCCGGGTTGAAGTCCAGTGACCTCAGTGAACGAGTATCGCTGGGTCAAGAAGAACATGTTTTTTTCTACGTAATGAAAAGTGGACTGAAGCCAAACTTATTTTCCTTGTCATGATTTGTATGGGATACTGAAGAAGATTGAAAACCAACCTTGACGCAAACCACATGACAAGATTTTATAATTGAGGAAACAGCACCCCTACACATCTCTTGAAACGGATGTGGACACCATATCCAAAAAACACTTGAATAAAAACAAAGCGACTCTGCTACTACCATGGCTTCACGGTAGGGCTGAGCACGTGTCCACGCCAGGAGTTTATGAAGGAGAGACTTCTCATGGAGCTTGTCGACGCACTCAGTGACAAATTGCCATTCCAATTTCATGTGGGAGAGCAGCTCTGGTAAAGATGCCGGCCTGAGGGCTGTGACGCATTTCCAAGGCAAGGACTTGTGGTAGGTGTTCACTTCGAAAAGCCATCCAACATGGGACAGAAGCAGGTCGGAATGAAATTCCAGGACCTCCTGACAGTTGCAATCTGGGCCCACAGCCCCCATCCTGTCCAGGGCAGGGATACGAATGCTATCCTCCAAAGTCTTGATCACCAGTCTGGTCACAGCATGTCCAGATGCCAAAGACATGGCGAATCTCAGAGATGCATCTTCCGAGTTCTGGATAGCAGAAACCTGCGTTGTGCAGAATCAAATGCTTGACCAGAAAAAAAAGGGGAAATATGAAAAGCATTGCCCATGTGCAAGTCAGGAATAAGTATTTGTCGAGAAACGAATTTGCCCACAAACATTCTGCTCTGGCGAAACACAGAGATGATGCTGCGCATGAAGTCTTGGTTCAAATCATCAGCCAGTACCTGCCAGCATGAAGCTATTATTGGAAGAACAATAGATTGGATTTTAGCCTGCTGTTGTTGGGTCCCAGCAATTTGATTGGGAAAAAGAAAATGTGGAACTATACTGAGCTAGACACTTGAAACCGCATCTTCTTGATGGAGTATACCCGTTCATCTTGTGCAGCTTTGTCCTCTGGTGCCTTCGCGCTCCAGGGATTCTCACCAGTCTCCCAAGAAGCAAAAAGTTGAGTCATGGCCTCAAGGTGCCAAACACGATCCCAAGCTTGTGCGTGGTCCAGCCAAGCACCCCACCGAACGTCTTTGCATTCCGCCGTGACCACGTGAACGCCAGAATGAGCAGCCAATGCCTCGATCGCCTTCTGAGGTGTCATCTTGGAGAAAGGGATGTCCATGTGTTTGGCAATCCCCGGGAGAAACATCTGCAGCACCTCATGTTCTGGGTCTTGTTTCAATGCTTTGACAAGCCTCTGACGCGATTCTTTCAGGGAATTGCCAAAACGACTGGTGCTGAAAGGGGCCCTGGAAGACCTGAACACCTTCATCAATGCACGCATGCGGGACTGTGCATCGGGGCAACGTGAAACTGCTCCTGCTTGTTTCCTTTGCACCTTGTGCGGAAGATCTGGCCAAAAAGTGCACCCGTGATGCTGAGTAGTCAGATGTTGCCACATCAGAAAGACCTACCAGTGGAAGACATTAGCTGAAAAACGAAAGCTCCCCGAAAACAGTGGGAGCTTAAAAACAGGTTTGAAGGAAACTGTCAACATTTCCAGGGGTCTAAGAACATGTTGTTGGGTGATTCTAGTCATCTCCATCACCGAGGGGCTTCTGTGCCCTCATCACCACTGAAGCAAAGTCGCGTGAAGGACCGCGGATCGCGGTAGAAGTCCACCTTTCTCGTGATGGCATCAACAGATTCCGACCACATGAAATGCAGGGTACGACCAGTCAAGCTCATCTTTCCCTGGCTGAGAATTTCGATTTCCTGCTGCAGCAGTGGGTGCCTCTCGCAAGAAGGTCCAGAAGGCGTGAGCACATCTGCTTGGATGGAGCTGTTCAGCTTCCAGTTCTCTGGCATCATTTGGCACAGGGCATTGGCTATGAGGCAACGTCGCGAAGGAAAACGTGACCGCCAGGCGCCTAGGCCCCAGCTAATTGAATGTTCTTGTACTTTGGATCACCTCCTGGAATGTTCTTCAGCTGGAAGTAGTGGTTTGCACGTTGTCGGATCGCATCCAGGAATTGGTCATCCAAGCGGCGCTTGAGGAAACACTTCTCAGCCCCTGCCGGCTTCAGAATAGCAAGGTGCCTGCTGTTCGATGACATGAAGTTGCCAGGTCGAGGCCCAAGCTCCCATACTCCTTGCTCAACCTTTTCTCCACACATCTGTGATGACCTTGTTGATCGCCGTGATGTTCTTCTTCAAGAAATAGCTAGTTACTTGGTTCTTGAAAATGACCCTGTCAACCACCAATTTGAGGCAACTCAAGCCCAAAAAAGGTCAACTGACCAACTCAAAAGGAATCACTTTGAAGAACCAACTGTGAAGAATTCTTTTGTTTTTCTTTACTTAGAAAAGTCCGTCCGTCCAGAGAGAGGCCTATCTGCCCACAACAAGAGATCGGGGGGAACCGAGGTTACTGGCACTGCAGGCCAAGGTTATCATAGATTCAATTGGGAGGAAGTGACAATAGATGTACCATGGTTGATGGCAAGACCATGGTACACCATCACTTCCATTGAAAGTCATTAGACCTGAGAAGGAGCCTGGACACGTATACCTTATATCGTGTGTGCATGTGTCGATGGGGTGGCGTGGTGAAGTCCCATTTCCATGTGAACCGGAAAAAAAGGAAATGATCTTACTCGAAACCAGCATGTATAAACATGTCATGAGGGCTGTGTGCTTTGGGGCCCCCCAACCAAGGTGATTTGCCATCTCCCAAAAAAAAAGTATAAACGGGCGGACCTGGCAGGCGGCGAATGTTTTTGGGATGGGACAAGCACAGTATTACAATATGATATAATGGGATGGCCCTTGTGCTCCTTTCCATGTGCTTTTTGGGTTTAGGGTCCTGACTCCTGACTGTGACTTGAATTGAAACTCTTATCTCACCATTCATACATCCATCTCTATATATATTACTACTCATACATCCATCTCCATCTCATACCTCTATTTCTATCTCAATATATAATATATCGCTTTGTCGCTTTGCGGTAGCAGCCTATCCATGTAATCCATCCCATCCCGGGGCCCTGACTCGATGCAAACCTAGCTGCACAGACCAACAACGCGGACCTGCAAAGCATTCAAGGACTATGACTAATGACTGCGACAGATCACATTCAGTGATGTCCCGGCACAACTATATGTGCAAAAGGAATATGGCAGCTAAACTAAAGTGTTACCCACAAACTCCACAATCCAAAAATCTGTGAATCCCAATGTAAGTTCATTAATCTATTCACATCTCTTGCAGGGTAAAATTAAGCATGCCTACTAAACATGCCAAGCAAACAAGTCAGGACCACGTCAAACTTGCCAGCAAGGCCTGAACATGACAGGGATGACCGGAAAACAAACATGCCAAAGAATCAACGGGGCAAGAAAACAAAACATGTAAGCAAGGCTGCTTTTACACACACATTGCCGCTGTCACACAGAAACACCTTTTACACAAAAAACCCTTCTGCACACACACCATTTTACACAGAGACGCTTTGACACACAAACCCTTTTACACACAGACACTTTTACACACAAAAGCTTTTACACACAGACACTTCTACACAGATGCGCTTCTACACACAAACACTTTTACACACAAACATCTTCACACAGAAACACTCTTACACACAAACCCTTTTACACAGAGACACTTTTACACACAAAAGCTTTTACACACAAACACTTTTACACAGATGCACTTGTACACACAAACACTTTTACACACAAACATCTTTACACCGAAACACTCCGATACACAAACACGTTTACACAAAAACACTTTTACACACAGAAGCTTTTACACACAAACACGTTTAAACAGATGCAATTTTACATGCGATCACTTTTACACACAAACATCTTTACACAGAACCACTCGTACACACAAACCCGTTTACACACAAAGACTTTTACACACAGAAGGTTTTACACACAAGACTTCTACACAGATGCACTTGTACACACAAACACCTTTACACACAAACATCTTTACACAGAAACGCTCGTACACACAAATCCCTTTTCCTGCGAAAGGATTACTCCAGCACACGATAAATCGCAATTTTACCTCAGTTTTTGCCGATCGACCATCATTTCGTGCGAAAGGGTTGCTCCAGGACACGATAAATCGCAATTTTACCTCGGTTTTTGCCGATCGACCTTCACTAAGGGTTGCTCCAGCACACGAAAAATCGCAATTTTACCTCAGTTTTTGCCGATCGACCCTCATTTCGTGCGAAAAGGTTGCTCCGGGACAAGTAAAATCGTAATTTTACCTCAGTTTTTGCCGATCGACCATCATTTCGCGCGAAAAGGTTGCTCCAGGACAAGTAAAATCGCAATTTTACCTCCCCTGTCCATCGGATATTGATCCTAATCAATAAGTTTTTGAGCTTATTGATTCCTTGAAAAAATCAACAGAAAATATTGATTTCATAGGGTTTTCAAATCAACAGAATATTGATTTTTAAAATCAATATTTCAACAAAAAAATCAACAGAAAAATCAACAGGAAAATCAACAAGAAAATCAATATGAAAATCAATATTTCTAGGAAAAAAATCGACAGGAAACCACCCAGGAAACCACCCTTTTTTGTCCCACAGAAGAGCCACTTGTGGGCTTAAGGCACACACCTTTTGTCAAGGTGCACCTATGTTGTTTTGTAAAGGAAGCTCTGCAAGCCTTGTGTCAAGGCTAGCCTCTTGCCAAGGCTTCTTGTTGACCAAAACCCTTTTGCCAAGGGAGTTCCCACAAGGAAATTCCTTTTTGTCAAAGGGAGATGCCAGGATCCTTTGGTCAAGGTGTGCCTGGTAGACAAGGAGCTGACCCTTTTGCCAAGGAAAGATTTTGTGAGCAGGGTGGGCAAGGATAAACCCTTTTGTCAAGGTATTTCCATGCTTGGCTCCCAATGCGCATTGTCAAACCCCAGCCTGTCGAGCTGGAGGTGCAGGAGCACTTGGTATTTGTCATTGATTTTGGAGCACAGCCTTGTAGACTTGACTCCATGCACCACACTGGATCCCAAAGTGCTCATCCTGCCCACAAAATCTTCTGACCTAAAGTTCCAGCAACACCTGGGGTTGATATCACAGGAGCTCTTGACCATGTGACCACAGGTGTGAAACTTCATGGTGATGTGGAACAAATATCTGCCAGCTTCTTCTGCCCACTCATTCAGCCAGGAGTAGCTGGAAAAGAATTGCCTGGCTAGCTTCCTGGCCTGGCCATATGTCCTTTTGTCAAGGAACATCCCAGCATCATCAAAAAGCTGGATCAAATCAACCATGCTTGACAGAGCATGCACCATATGTTGGTGCACCTCATCTGTTGAATCAAGCATGGCTTTGATCACAGGCAGAAGAGCAGGCATGAAATGCTTGCACTCTGCTGCTTTGCAGTCCAGCTTTGGGTATTCCTTGTGTGGACTCTTCACATCACAAACCATGGAAAGCTTTAGGTTTGTGAGCCTTGTGGGTCTTTTTTGCTTTTTGTATTGGTCCTGGACTTGGGAAAATATAAGTGCTAGCCTGTCACTTGGTCTGATGGATTGCTTTCCTTTTCCATCGAGGTAACACAAGAAATGTAAGATGCTGCCACAAAGGTGTGAGCAGACACCCTTTGCAAACAAGACATGGAGGCCATCATGCCTCACCATCTTGGTGCTCAAGCCTTCAATTTGGAACAGAGGGTGCTGTTCCATGCCTTTTGTCAAGGCTTCTGCATGGCTCAAGCATTCAAAGGCCTGCTCTTCTTCCTTCAGCAACTTAAAAGATTTTCCTTCAGGGCATGGCACCCCTTTTGTCAAGGGTTGCTGGCAGTCACACTCCCAGCAGGGAAACTTGCTGTTCCAATGAGGGAGGCCCAGCACCAGGCTGTACATCTCATGGTCCCCTTGGATGGACCACACCACACCTCTGAAGCCTTGAGGAGTGAGTGGTGTTCCAGCCAGTTTTTCAAACATAGACCCTTTTGGCAAGGGCTCATTGTCTGGCCCAACACAGGGGTGAAAGCCATCTTGCAAACTTTCCAGTGACCATTTGATGTACTTCATGATGGGTGTCCAGGTCGACTCCATGGTGCAAGACTTTGGAAAGGCACAGATCAGCATGTGGCTTTGGAGGCTGCTGAACTGTGAAAGCAACCCTCCCCAGTTCCAGCACATGATAGTGTCCCTGGTCTGGAACTCCACACCATCTGCATGAATGAACAGTGGCACTGTTCTTTCAGCATTCACCACATGCCTTTTGGCAAGGCCTTGCCTTTTGTCAAGGCAGATGGGGTGGCCTTGCAGCCTCTCATCCTTGACTGCTTCCACATTTTTCCAGAATGCTGCCAGCTCAGAGCATTTAAAGATTTTCTCAAACTGCTCTGAGTAGGATGTAGCAAGGTCTGCAAAAAGCAGATGTGGCAAGTACAGCGAAGCAGTTTCAACTCCCACCTTTGAAGTCTTTGGGTCCCTGACCTGCACATCTACTTCATAGGCTTTGGTCAATGCATTGCTCTTGCAATGTGTTGACATGAAGTCTCTGTGGCAGTTGCCACTGGCCTCGCCCCAGTTGCCAGCAGATGCCATCTGTATCAATTCCTCATGGTGGGCTCCATCCAAGACAGCCAGGTGGGCAAGCTGCTGGCAAAGGGTGGCAGACAACTGCCCATGGGCCCACAGGCTCAAGAGCTTGGTGACCAAGCCACTTTTCTCAGCCTGTGCACCTTTTGTCAAGGGCTTGCCCTTCCTTTTTTCAAGCTCCAACTGGTGACCTCTCAATCTTTTAGCCTTGGGGAGGTCCATGATTTGAAGCACCCTCTTGTCAAGGGTTTTCTATGTTCTTTTGACAAGGACCTCCTTTTGTCAAGGACCACTAGCTTCTTGCTAATGGTTTTGCCTTTTGCCAAGGGAAAGAGATTCCTAACTAAATTGAGCCAAAAAGCTGCAGACATATATCTACATTTTAGTTAGGAAAGCATTCCCCATACATCAACCCTTTGGACCACCACAAACCCTTTAAGAACCCAAAAAACACAAAAACAACACCATTCCTCTTGAGGGTTTTTTGGGGTTATTACTTTACATCCTGGCTGTAAGCTGCAGCATTTTTTTAAACACACAGCTGGGTCTGCCTTGCAGCTGTTCAAAAACATGTGCACCAAGGGAGCCTTTTGCCAAGGCTGCTGGGACCTTTTTGTCAAAGGTAATGCAACTTTGCCGAGGATCACTTGGCTGTTCCTGCCTTGGAGTAGGCTTTGTTTGCCACAACTGAGATCTCCTTCTTCTGATCCTTCAGCTCCTTGCTCAGTGTGGTGGCATCCTGGATCAGACCTTTAGCTTTTGTCAAGCTAAGAGCTTTCTTCCCCTTGAGCAAGAGGTCTTTGCACTTCTTCTCCATTGCTTGGGCTTTGCTGAGCAGTGTGTCTGCATCCTTCTTGGTGCCCTTGCTCAGCCTTTGGCAGCTGGCAGCTTTTGCCATATCCTCCTGCAGATTGGCCTGGCTGCTCACCAAGAGGTCCCTGGCTTTCCTTGCTTTTGTCAAGCATGTGGACCACTCCTGGTCCTCTGTCTTATCATCATTGTCATCATCCTCATTGGGGTCACCATCTTCCAAAGCCAGTTGAGGCTGTCCTCTGGCTTTGCCTTTGCCCCTTCCCTTTGAGGCTGGCTTTCCTTTTGTCAAGGCTTTGCCCTTCCCTTTGCCTTCCAGTTCCAGAAGGTGGCTGCTGAGGTCCTTGGTGAAGTGGCTGTCCCAAGCTTCTTCATTCTCAGCTTCATATTCCTGCCCCCAAGCATATGCATTGCTATGGGTGACAGTACTTGTTTTCTTGATGTCCCCCTGGTCTTGGTATTGGTAGCATCCCCCTGTCCATGGGTCTGCTCTCCACTTCACTCGACCAGAGGCCAAGTGAAGCTCCAGCTCTTCTCTGGTAAATTTCTGCAGCATCTGAAGTTCTGACTCCCATGTTTCTCCTTTTGTCAAGGAGACACCTGAGTTCAACTCCTGCTTTAAGGCCATGAACTTGGGAGCCTCAGCCTTCAAGAGGCACATGGTGGCATAGATGCCAATTTCCTTCTTGGACATGTTTTCCACCTTCTTTGCTTCTGCTGGGTCATTTTTCATTTTGGTTTTCATTTTGGACCATGCACTTTGCTGCTCCTTGGGGGTCAATTGTTTTTTCAATGCTAGCACTGCCTCTTCTGCAGTCTCAGCTCCTTCTGTGGCTTTCTTGATTCTTTCTTTCAGGCTTAGCTCCCCCAGGTCATCCAATGCTTTTTTGTTCAAAGCATTTTTCTGCTTTCCTTTTGTCAAGGGTGTGTCCTTGCTAGAACCTGCCCTGGTTTTAGTTTTAGCTTTGGCCTTGGCTTTACCTTTTGGCAAGGTTTTCATTGCAAATTTGCCTTTTGCCAAGGCTTTGCTCTTTTGGTTTCCTTTTCCACCTTTGCCCATTTCCCTTTGGCCAAGGGAGAAGGTGCACTAATACACTTTTGAATTGCTTGAGAAACAAAATGGCTGAGGTTTGGCAAACCTGATGCACCATCACAAACATTGCATGCTATGGGGCCTAGTAAATGCAAACTAAAGTAAATAATGTGTTGAAAATAAATATATATATATATATTGGACTGTTTGGATTGAACATATATGTTAAAAATAAAAACATATATTGGACTAGTTGGGTTGGACCAACAACTACAACATTTTCCAAACAATGAAACCACTATTTAAAAAATATTTCACAAATATTTCAAAAAATATCAAAAAATGAAAACTGATGAAATCTGATGAAATCTGATGAAATCTGATGAAATCTGATGAAAACATAGGTGCCACCTGTGGGCTTAAGGCACACACCTTTTGTCAAGGTGCACCTATGTTGTTTTGTAAAGGAAGCTCTGCAAGCCTTGTGTCAAGGCTAGCCTCTTGCCAAGGCTTCTTGTTGACCAAAACCCTTTTGCCAAGGGAGTTCCCACAAGGAAATTCCTTTTTGTCAAAGGGAGATGCCAGGATCCTTTGGTCAAGGTGTGCCTGGTAGACAAGGAGCTGACCCTTTTGCCAAGGAAAGATTTTGTGAGCAGGGTGGGCAAGGATAAACCCTTTTGTCAAGGTATTTCCATGCTTGGCTCCCAATGCGCATTGTCAAACCCCAGCCTGTCGAGCTGGAGGTGCAGGAGCACTTGGTATTTGTCATTGATTTTGGAGCACAGCCTTGTAGACTTGACTCCATGCACCACACTGGATCCCAAAGTGCTCATCCTGCCCACAAAATCTTCTGACCTAAAGTTCCAGCAACACCTGGGGTTGATATCACAGGAGCTCTTGACCATGTGACCACAGGTGTGAAACTTCATGGTGATGTGGAACAAATATCTGTCAGCTTCTTCTGCCCACTCATTCAGCCAGGAGTAGCTGGAAAAGAATTGCCTGGCTAGCTTCCTGGCCTGGCCATATGTCCTTTTGTCAAGGAACATCCCAGCATCATCAAAAAGCTGGATCAAATCAACCATGCTTGACAGAGCATGCACCATATGTTGGTGCACCTCATCTGTTGAATCAAGCATGGCTTTGATCACAGGCAGAAGAGCAGGCATGAAATGCTTGCACTCTGCTGCTTTGCAGTCCAGCTTTGGGTATTCCTTGTGTGGACTCTTCACATCACAAACCATGGAAAGCTTTAGGTTTGTGAGCCTTGTGGGTCTTTTTTGCTTTTTGTATTGGTCCTGGACTTGGGAAAATACAAGTGCTAGCCTGTCACTTGGTCTGATGGATTGCTTTCCTTTTCCATCGAGGTAACACAAGAAATGTAAGATGCTGCCACAAAGGTGTGAGCAGACACCCTTTGCAAACAAGACATGGAGGCCATCATGCCTCACCATCTTGGTGCTCAAGCCTTCAATTTGGAACAGAGGGTGCTGTTCCATGCCTTTTGTCAAGGCTTCTGCATGGCTCAAGCATTCAAAGGCCTGCTCTTCTTCCTTCAGCAACTTAAAAGATTTTCCTTCAGGGCATGGCACCCCTTTTGTCAAGGGTTGCTGGCAGTCACACTCCCAGCAGGGAAACTTGCTGTTCCAATGAGGGAGGCCCAGCACCAGGCTGTACATCTCATGGTCCCCTTGGATGGACCACACCACACCTCTGAAGCCTTGAGGAGTGAGTGGTGTTCCAGCCAGTTTTTCAAACATAGACCCTTTTGGCAAGGGCTCATTGTCTGGCCCAACACAGGGGTGAAAGCCATCTTGCAAACTTTCCAGTGACCATTTGATGTACTTCATGATGGGTGTCCAGGTCGACTCCATGGTGCAAGACTTTGGAAAGGCACAGATCAGCATGTGGCTTTGGAGGCTGCTGAACTGTGAAAGCAACCCTCCCCAGTTCCAGCACATGATAGTGTCCCTGGTCTGGAACTCCACACCATCTGCATGAATGAACAGTGGCACTGTTCTTTCAGCATTCACCACATGCCTTTTGGCAAGGCCTTGCCTTTTGTCAAGGCAGATGGGGTGGCCTTGCAGCCTCTCATCCTTGACTGCTTCCACATTTTTCCAGAATGCTGCCAGCTCAGAGCATTTAAAGATTTTCTCAAACTGCTCTGAGTAGGATGTAGCAAGGTCTGCAAAAAGCAGATGTGGCAAGTACAGGGAAGCAGTTTCAACTCCCACCTTTGAAGTCTTTGGGTCCCTGACCTGCACATCTACTTCATAGGCTTTGGTCAATGCATTGCTCTTGCAATGTGTTGACATGAAGTCTCTGTGGCAGTTGCCACTGGCCTCGCCCCAGTTGCCAGCAGATGCCATCTGTATCAATTCCTCATGGTGGGCTCCATCCAAGACAGCCAGGTGGGCAAGCTGCTGGCAAAGGGTGGCAGACAACTGCCCATGGGCCCACAGGCTCAAGAGCTTGGTGACCAAGCCACTTTTCTCAGCCTGTGCACCTTTTGTCAAGGGCTTGCCCTTCCTTTTTTCAAGCTCCAACTGGTGACCTCTCAATCTTTTAGCCTTGGGGAGGTCCATGATTTGAAGCACCCTCTTGTCAAGGGTTTTCTATGTTCTTTTGACAAGGACCTCCTTTTGTCAAGGACCACTAGCTTCTTGCTAATGGTTTTGCCTTTTGCCAAGGGAAAGAGATTCCTAACTAAATTGAGCCAAAAAGCTGCAGACATATATCTACATTTTAGTTAGGAAAGCATTCCCCATACATCAACCCTTTGGACCACCACAAACCCTTTAAGAACCCAAAAAACACAAAAACAACACCATTCCTCTTGAGGGTTTTTTGGGGTTATTACTTTACATCCTGGCTGTAAGCTGCAGCATTTTTTTTAACACACAGCTGGGTCTGCCTTGCAGCTGTTCAAAAACATGTGCACCAAGGGAGCCTTTTGCCAAGGCTGCTGGGACCTTTTTGTCAAAGGTAATGCAACTTTGCCGAGGATCACTTGGCTGTTCCTGCCTTGGAGTAGGCTTTGTTTGCCACAACTGAGATCTCCTTCTTCTGATCCTTCAGCTCCTTGCTCAGTGTGGTGGCATCCTGGATCAGACCTTTAGCTTTTGTCAAGCTAAGAGCTTTCTTCCCCTTGAGCAAGAGGTCTTTGCACTTCTTCTCCATTGCTTGGGCTTTGCTGAGCAGTGTGTCTGCATCCTTCTTGGTGCCCTTGCTCAGCCTTTGGCAGCTGGCAGCTTTTGCCATATCCTCCTGCAGATTGGCCTGGCTGCTCACCAAGAGGTCCCTGGCTTTCCTTGCTTTTGTCAAGCATGTGGACCACTCCTGGTCCTCTGTCTTATCATCATTGTCATCATCCTCATTGGGGTCACCATCTTCCAAAGCCAGTTGAGGCTGTCCTCTGGCTTTGCCTTTGCCCCTTCCCTTTGAGGCTGGCTTTCCTTTTGTCAAGGCTTTGCCCTTCCCTTTGCCTTCCAGTTCCAGAAGGTGGCTGCTGAGGTCCTTGGTGAAGTGGCTGTCCCAAGCTTCTTCATTCTCAGCTTCATATTCCTGCCCCCAAGCATATGCATTGCTATGGGTGACAGTACTTGTTTTCTTGATGTCCCCCTGGTCTTGGTATTGGTAGCATCCCCCTGTCCATGGGTCTGCTCTCCACTTCACTCGACCAGAGGCCAAGTGAAGCTCCAGCTCTTCTCTGGAAAATTTCTGCAGCATCTGAAGTTCTGACTCCCATGTTTCTCCTTTTGTCAAGGAGACACCTGAGTTCAACTCCTGCTTTAAGGCCATGAACTTGGGAGCCTCAGCCTTCAAGAGGCACATGGTGGCATAGATGCCAATTTCCTTCTTGGACATGTTTTCCACCTTCTTTGCTTCTGCTGGGTCATTTTTCATTTTGGTTTTCATTTTGGACCATGCACTTTGCTGCTCCTTGGGGGTCAATTGTTTTTTCAATGCTAGCACTGCCTCTTCTGCAGTCTCAGCTCCTTCTGTGGCTTTCTTGATTCTTTCTTTCAGGCTTAGCTCCCCCAGGTCATCCAATGCTTTTTTGTTCAAAGCATTTTTCTGCTTTCCTTTTGTCAAGGGTGTGTCCTTGCTAGAACCTGCCCTGGTTTTAGTTTTAGCTTTGGCCTTGGCTTTACCTTTTGGCAAGGTTTTCATTGCAAATTTGCCTTTTGCCAAGGCTTTGCTCTTTTGGTTTCCTTTTCCACCTTTGCCCATTTCCCTTTGGCCAAGGGAGAAGGTGCACTAATACACTTTTGAATTGCTTGAGAAACAAAATGGCTGAGGTTTGGCAAACCTGATGCACCATCACAAACATTGCATGCTATGGGGCCTAGTAAATGCAAACTAAAGTAAATAATGTGTTGAAAATAAATATATATATATATATGGACTGTTTGGATTGAACATATATGTTAAAAATAAAAACATATATTGGACTAGTTGGGTTGGACCAACAACTACAACATTTTCCAAACAATGAAACCACTATTTAAAAAATATTTCAAAAATATTTCAAAAAATATCAAAAAAATGAAAACTGATGAAATCTGATGAAATCTGATGAAATCTGATGAAAACATAGGTTTTCATCAGATTTCATCAGATTTCATCAGTTTTCATTTTTTTGATATTTTTTGACATTTTTTTCCCAATCCAAAATATTTCTGATTTTTTTTTGGAAACAATATTTGAGCCTTTTGTCAAGGCAATGTGCTGTTGATTACTTCAGAAACCACATGAAAACTGAATGCCTTTTGTCAAGGCAAACTGTGTTTCCAAAACTGAAATATGTTGTGTTTCCCTAGATCCCAAACCAATGTACACCTGAATTCATTGTGGTGGTTCCCAAAAATGTTTTGATGACAAATGGGTCCCTTGACAAAAGGGTTATTATACCCACTTATTATTTGATGAACCATTCAAAAATGAAAACAAATTACACACCTTTGAGGGGCTCCCAATCAAACACCCTTAGCCCAATTTTTTTTTGCTGCAATCCTGCCAGCATCCATGAACCTTTTGCCAAGGTTTCCCATTGCAGTGCCACAGCCTCTTGGGCCTTAACAAACATTGTGGACCACACCAGTATGTATACATATATATGTTTATGTATGTATAAGTGCTGTAGGAGATTTTATTTACTTACAACATTAGACTGTTTCAAAAAAAAAATCAAGAGGCTGTGGCAACTGCAAGGTTTTAAAAACCTAGGGGCATGTCTTTGCTTAGACCTGCCTAGACAAAATCTGTACAAGGGTGAAACATGCTACAACCTTTTGCCAAGGTTTCTTGTCCTTTTGTCAAGTTTCTTGTCCTTTTGTCAAGGTTTTTTTCTATTGGTGCAACCTTTTTGTCAAAGGTGCTGCAGCAAGGAAGTCTTTTTGCCTTTTGTCAAGGCTTGGGAGGCTTTTGTCAAGCCTTTTGGTTTTAGATGCTTTTGCCAAGCCTGCCTGGACCACCATTGGCTCTGCCCTTTTGTCAAGGGTTTTCCTCCTTGAGGATGTCAATGGCTGCAGCTGCAAAGTCAGAGAAGCAGCTTTGGAGCTTAGGCTGCCCCTTTTTCCTTCTCTGACCAGCAGGCACAATGGGGTAAGCCTGGATGCCAAACTGAATGGCTTCAGAACAAATGTCAGCATTGTCATCCACCAGCTTGCTTACCCCATTGTCCAGGCACCACTGGGCTTTCCCTTCCTTGCCACATTGCTTCCAGGTGAAGCTGACAGAGGCCCAGCCATTCCATTCAAACCAGGCCCAGTCATACACCTCATGGCTTCTCTTCCAGCCACAGTAGCTCAACAGGTGCACTTCATACCCTGCATCCTTGAGCTTCTGCAGCCATGGGGTGGCTGTGAGGTCATACAGGTTGTTATGCACCAGGACCTTGTGCCAGTCCACTGCAACCCTCTTGGGTGGCTGCTTTTTTGGCAAGCCCTTTTTGCCATCATCCCCTTTTGTCAAGGGGTCAGGGCTGCCAGGTGATGGTGTGCCAGAGCTGGCACTGGCACTGGAGCTACTGTTGCCCCAGTCCACACTCATTCCATCATCACTGCTCTGTTGGCTTGATTTTTTTCCTTTTGGCAAGGAATCATCTTTTGCTTTTGTCAAGCCTTTGCTCTGCTCCTTTTCCTTTGCTTGTTCCTTCTCTGAAGGGCCAAGTTTCTTTGACACCCCATCTTTGGAACCTTCAGGAGGGACACTTTCCTTCTGCTCCTTTTGGCCAGGAGCATCTTTCTTTTCTTGCTCCTTTTGGCAAGGAGTTTCCTTCTTGTTTGCCTGCCCCTTTTGGCAAGGAGTTTCCTTTTTCTTTGGCTGCTCCTTTGGGCAAGGAGTTTCCTTTTTCTTTTGCTGCTCCTTTTGGCAAGGAGTTTCCTTTTTCTTTGGCTGCTCCTTTTGGCAAGGAGGTTCCCTTTTGTTTGGTTTCTCCTTTTGGCAAGGAGGCCCTTTCCTGGGCTTTTTCCTGGATGGCCCAACTTCCACCCATCCAGCTGCTTGGCTGGCAGCTGCAGCTGCTTCAGCTGCCTGGGCAGCTGTCCTTGCTGCCTGCTCAGCAGCCTCTTCAGCCTGCTTCTTCATAGAAGCAGCTTTCTGTGCTTCCTTCTTGGCTTTGTCAGCCAAAGCAGCACTGTCCCCCAGGGCAGCTAGCCTGTCCCTTTCTTGGGCAGCTGCCTGGATCCTTGCCCTTCTGGCATGGGAGGTGGTGCCACTGCCAGTTGGCCTCCACTTGTTGTTCCACCCACCATCCCCCCATTCCCAATCATCATCATCCCACTGCATTGGGACAACCTTTTGTCAAGGTCCAGGCTGCTCACCTTTTGGCAAGGTAAAGTTTTTTTTTGTCAGTTCCAATCCCTTTTGTCAAGAGAAGTTGGTTCAAGTTGTTCCAGACCACCTAAGGGTCCACTGGTCCAAAAAAAAAGGCGCGAAAAAAAAAACTCTCTAGCTTTTGAGCCAAAAGTCTGGGGTGGGACACATCAGGTTAGAAATGCTATCAGGAACCCAATTCAAAGTACCCCTTATAAATAGTTGAGGGTGCATTTGCTACAGCTATACTACACTATACCCCTACTGCAGCTGATGCTGCAACTAACACCTACTAGCTACTTAGCTGCAAGCCTACTACTACCACTACAACCAACAGATACAGGTGGTACAAAAACAAACAAAACACCAACATTGTTTCCATTACCTAGACAAGTACAACACCTAAACACATCCCCTTACCCAAGCTGCCAGCTCTTTTTGACACCCTTGAGGAAGGGCAGTGCACCAAGCCAGACCCTTTTTTGGGTAGGCATTAAACAATCCTTTTGTCAAGGAAAAGTAGTTCCTTTTGCCAAGGAACATTAAAAACCATTCCTTTTGCCAAGGAAAGCTATACCTTTTGCCAAGGAGCTTTGCTTCATTGTGCACAGCCAGTGCACAGCATTCAGCCTTTTGTCAAGGCATGCCATGCTGCTCAGCAGAGGCTTTCTCTGAGCTCCCTGCACTGCAGCTTGTCAAGGCCTTTCTTTTCAGCTTCCTGGTGGATGGTTTCAATTACCCTTTGGTACTGGATGGTTCTTTTTTATGATACCTCCACCAGGAGCCTGAATTTTTCCTTGGGTGCAGACTGTGCAGTGATGTATGCCCTTTCAGGTTTCTTTGCATATGTCACCTTCAACTTATGCCACTTTTGGCCTTTGGGCTTCACTTCTGCCTGCACCCCTGCAGGTGACTTTCCTGAGCTGCAGGATGCAGCTGGTTTCCTCATTTTTGCAGTCCCTTTTGTCAAGGGTTTCTTCAGAGTTGCTGCTGGCCTCTTCTTTGCTTGTCCTTTTGGCAAGGCCTTTGGCAAGCCAATGGCTTTTGCCAAGCCTTCATCCTCATCTTCTTGGCCCCAGGCCTTGGAGGATTTGGCTGCCCTGGACCCTATCTTTTTCCTGAAGAAGGAAGTGTTCACTTTTGGCAAGTGCTCTTCATCTTCCAATTCTTCAGCAGACCTCTTACCTTTTGTCAAGGTTTTTTTGGCTGGTGATGTTTTCAGTTCATTGGGGTATCCCTCTGAGTCCAGGGACATGTCATCCCTCATTCTTTCAGGCTCTTCCTGCTCATCTTTGTCTCTGATTTTGTCAACCAGATTCTGCAGCCTTTGGTAGTCTACAGATTTAAGCTTGGCAGCAGCTTTCCTCATCTCAGCATCATTTTTTAGCCTTCTGCAGTGAGCCATGACCACCACAAGCCTTTCAGTCTTGATGTTGGCCCAGACCTGCCCATTGAATTTTGAAGTGTTTAAGCTTGGCTTGTCCTTGGCCAAGGTCAGCAAACAGGTCCTGAGTGGACCTGAATGCACTTCGAAGGTGGCAGAGACCTTGACCAAGGACTCCAACAAGGCAATGATTTCCATCAAGCCACCTGGGTCAGTGGCTTGGTTCCTGGACACCAGCTCATAGGTGCCAAGGTCCTGTATCAAATCTTCATGGCAGCTCAGGCATTTGTACAAGACACCTTGGTCCACCATGGGTTTGGCAAAGTGTCTTGCCGGACCTTTGGACATCCTTTGGTCAAGGAATCTATACCTTTTGCCAAGGCTGCTCCCCCCTTTTGCCAAGGGTAGCTGAAACAGCTACCTTTTGCCAAGGGCCCACAAAGAAGTAACAACTAGTTTGAGCTGGAAAGATCAGTGCATGTCCATGCATCATAAACATGGGTTCAAGTTCACATGCCGAAAAAAAGCAGGTGGCCAAAGGGGAAAAAAGAGGAAAAAAACATCAAAAATCAACAGGAAAATCAACAGGAAAATCAACAGGAAAATCAATATGAAAATCAATATGAAAATCAATATGAAGATCAATAAGGGTCCCCAAAAAAATCAACACAAAATAGATAAAAAAATATTGATTTTAAAATCAATAAGGGAAATATTGAAAATATCAATACCAAAATCAATATTCAATATCAACAGAAAAATGGATGACTATATTGATTAGGATCAATATCCGATGGACAGGGTATGCAATTGATCACAATCAGTTGATTTTCGCAGGTCTTTTAGCTCTTGGTTTCTTTGCCCTCCTTCGAACGGGCGAGCTTCTACAGGTCACCGCCAAAGACTTGCTTCTGGGTGAGAATTCTGGGATAGTATCCCTCCGGGACACTAAGACTGGAAAAAGAGATAATGCCACTGAAATGGTCATGTTCGATGACTTCATGACGCTGGAAATTCCCCGTGCTGTCATTGCCATTCAAGAATCTAAAGGCTTGGAACTAACTCCATTATGGGCAGGATCAGCGCAGCAATTTAGAAATGTATTCAGCCATTACAATCGTCGCTTCGATCTTGATAAACATCATTTTAGACCCTATTCGTTGAGACGTGGAGGAGCAACTTACCTTTTTCAATCTACAGGCTCCATGGAGCAGGCGTTGCTTAAAGGTAGGTGGAGCTCGACGCGAGTGGCCCGAATATATATCAGTGATGCCTTATCCTACCTCCCGGGGTTGACCTTCTCAGCACGTGCCCAGCGTTTGTTAAGTGTTTGGTCCCCCTTCAATAGGTCAACTTGCTAAATGTAATAATAGCAAGTCAAGTTTGGGTTCGCGGAAGGGGGGAGCCATTCTTTTCTGTTTCATCAAAGTTTCAGCAAAGTCCGCTTCTAAGAAGCTCAAAGGACTGTCTCTGCCGTGGAGACCTCTTGAATTTGATGTGATACAAAGGTAAATCCCTGCAGTGGGGAAAAGCTTTTCTTTGAGAGCGCAATGGGTGAAATGACCCCCATTGACGCAAAAAGCTCCGCCAGTCACACGACAAAAAGAGAAAGATCCGGAAACCCAGACTTTCTCTAGAAATTTGGGTTGAGGGGGCTTGATGTTTGTTGTGTTGCTTTCGGTTCAAAGCCCCCCTTTTCTTAGCCCCGCCACTCCCTCCTCTTTGGAAGGGGGGAGCCATTCTTTTCTGTTTCATCAAAGTTTCAGCAAAGTCCGCTTCTAAGAAGCTCAAAGGACTGTCTCTTCCGTGGAGACCTCTTGAATTTGATGTGATACAAAGGTAAATCCCTGCAGTGGGGAAAAGCTTTTCTTTGAGAGCGCAATGGGTGAAATGACCCCCATTGACGCAAAAAGCTCCGCCAGTCACACGACAAAAAGAGAAAGATCCGGAAACCCAGGTTTAGGTAGCATGTTGTGATGGACAGCCAGTTACCATTGATTTCTGATGAACCTCAGTCAGATAGTTTTGTCATTAAACTTTTCAGTCCATGCCTTTGCGGGTATATATCATATATCCTTTTCAGGATCATGCCTTTTGGGGACTATCATGTTCATGTTTTTTTGGTGTCAGGATCCATCAATAGAGGGTAATTTTAAGATGGGTTGACATACATTTACTCCTTATTTTCGGCCCGGACCTAAAAGGACATTGCCAATAATTTTACCGTTCATTTTAGGACCAACCTAGCCTCTCTTCTAATGAGCTGTGTAAGCCTTGAGAACTTCAGGAAATTCAAAAGCTTCCATTGTATAAAAATGACATGGGGTGGTGAATCTGCCATTTTTGGCGTCTTAAACAGGGGTCAAAATGGGCCAATTGGGTGTCATAAAGGGCACTGAAACCTGCAAAAAAACAATTGTTGCCATCTGTGACGAAAAAATAAATGCAACATGTGGTGAATGATGGCAGCATATTTAATAGATGCGTACATGTTTTACTGATGTCGTTCGATATTTTTCAATGTTTTTGATGTAGTTGTAGTCGAAAAAATCCGCGTAAATTTCTTGTTTGCCATAAACTGGATGGTCTTCTGAAACCTTCTGATGTGGGGCGTTTCAAACCACGGCGCTTATGCAGCACCATTTCATACAGCGCTTATGCAGCACCGTCTCACATGGCGCTTCTGCAGCACCCTTTCACATGGCGCTTATACAGCACCTTTAAGCTTGATTAATTCCTTATGATTCCATCATGTTTTCCGGGACTTATGACACAAAGCAGAAGCAGTATCTAGCTATGCTGAATGAAGGCAAAATCAACATGCCAAAGGCGCAAACACTTGATTTTTACAAGATTTAAAGGGAGGAAGAAGTCTTCAAAAGTGATGGGTGAATAGATGAAACTTAGTAATTATTTTATGTATATAAATATGACATTGATTGAAATTGTTGCAATTGCCATATATGAAAGCTTTGCCAAACTTTGATGTGGATCATTGCAAATATAGAATTCCTTACAGGGAAAGGACAAGACTTTGGACAAACTTGGACACTTGGACGCCTGGACCACTGTGCAGAAGGGATTGTGCAATGATGGGTGGCCATATGCATAAAGAAACTACAGAAAGAGCACCTAGTAATGGCAAGCACACTTGCCCTGAAGATTATATACACTTTGTTCAAACCGTTAGTGCAAAAAATATGAATGCTATGCATACTGCGCTCTTTAGCTAGTTGCTGCGCCTTTCCACTAACAATACTGCGCCTTGCCCGCCTAGACCACTGTGTAAAAGGGATTGTGCAATGATGGGTGGCACTAGGCATAAAGAACCTGCACAAAGAGCACCTAGTAATAGCACAGACGCTTGCCCTGAAAACTATATACACCTTGTTCAAACCATTAGTACAGAAAATATGAATGCTATGCATACTGTGCGCTTTAGCTAGTTGCTGCGCCTTTCCACTAACAATACTGCACCTTGCCCACCTAGACCACTGCAAAAAAGGGATTGTGCAATGACGGGTGGCAATAAGCATAAAGAGCCTGCACTAAGCACACCAGGTAATAGCAAAGACACTTGGCCTGAAAACTACATACAGGTTACATACACCTTGTTCAAACCATTAGTGCCAAAAAAAATGCTATGCATACTGTGCGCTGTCACCTTGCCACTAGCAATACTGCGCCTCGCCACAAAAAGCGGGTAAATGGCAGGGTTTATGTTATTTTGATTAATTCTGAAAAACTCCAGACCCAAACTCTGGTTGAACTCGCCGAGGAACTGCTGACAGGGGGGTCCAGAGGTTTGGTGGGTGGTGTGTGTGTGTGCATATGTTGGGTTCTTACTATTTCTGAAGTTTAAAAGTCTATATCAAAACATGTGTTTATCAACTTATCAAATAAACGGGATAAAAATCTATATATATATATATATATATCAAGAAACAGGAGAAGGCCTGAAAGTGCGGAGCTCTGAAACATATTTATATTATTTGTTTTTATTAAGTGTGACCTTGGTGATCCACCGACCCCCAGCATGCGTCAACGTTTTTTGTCACCTGACATCCTGACAACAGGGAGGTGCATAAAGAAAAAATGAAACAACTTCGCGTTCCTGGTGTTTTGTTCCGGGGTCGGCGGCAGGGGCGGCAGCCCTTAATTATGATGTTCCCTCATGAAAATATATTTTATATATTTTATGATGTTCCCTCATGAAAAACCATTCTTAGTGAGAAATCTTCAAGTAAACTGCCTTTTGGCAGTCCAAAATGTTTGAGCACAGGCCCCTGGTTTTGTGAGCCCTCCTCACCCCCCCAGCATCATACTTTAAGATTGGTTCATGTTAAAAATGTGCATGAACTGCACATAGTAAGTTATTATTACTGACATTGTAATTCGTCAGTAACAGCACCTCTGAGGTCAGTAATGTGCTTTTAACGTAACAAGAAAAAACCTTTATTATTAGTTTAAAAACTCATGACTATGGAAGCTGCCTTTTGGCAATGACGTGCAAATTTATGCGTTTTTGGTTTCAGTTTGCTGTTCTTGAGCGTTGTTTGCACAACATATAACTCCAGATCTTTGGCGGACCGAATCATTTTGGCGGACCGAATCAAAGGTAAAATCGTTTTTTGAACCTTTTTGATTTTATAAACACAATGGGTCCACATTGAAGCCGAGTACATGCACGTACCCCCACTGATTTCCGAATCATCCAATTTCAAGCTATGGAAATGGAAAAGCAGCGTCAACACGCTCAGTGCTCAAGCAAAACCTCTCTATAAAATCAAAAAAACTTTGTTTGGGGGTCCTTCAAACCTGAACTGTCCATTTTGGAGTCCTGCTGTGCCTAACGATATGGACAGTGTCAAAGATGTTTGAGGCGTTTATTGACCAAATTTTGGAGTTAGGGGGCAAGGAGGCGGGAAACATATGAACAGAGTCCAGTTTCTGGAACTTTTTGATTTTATAGAAGCCGCATTCAAAGGCACAACCTTAAAAAAAACAAAAAATAATGTTTTGTTTTTTTTGGAAGGGCTCCCAAGAGGTATCTGAAACAATCTAAAACTAGTTTGAAACCATCTCTATCTATTCAGAATGTCGAAGACCAGCCCTAGATCAGTAGGGTTTTAGATCAGTAGGGTTTTTAGCATTCCCCAGAAATCAGAAAGAAGATGTTTCCTGAAAAAAAAAGTTTTTGGAAACATTTGAGAAAATTTGGGGTAGGTAAACTCTCTTGTAGGAACCACTTGCCACTTGCCACTTGACCAAGTGCCTTTTGCAAATCCCCTTGGAAAATATTTTGGCAATAT